GCATCTAACCAAGTAAATCATGGCATTGATTCTTTTTCAATGGACTGGTTTTGAAAGAGCTGTCCTGTCTATCCAATGGTCCTCCGGTGTTGGAAACAAGGTTATTGTGACAAAATTATAATGTGCCCCATAACTGGAATTCGGATCGCTAGTACTGACAAATCCGATAAGATGAGCTAGATAGCCTCTGACCCCAATATAAACTAAAAAATCTAATTTTCAACAGTGTGGTACTGGGGGGGGGGACTGACGGAGGATTTATCGATTATCGCTAATCTATTATCATTTGTTGGATTATAGTTAACTGTAAATTGTTCTGTCTCACTCATTGAACTACAAGGAGTGGACAGATGTGGTCAGGCTGTGAAACGATAAGTTGATGAAAATGATGGACGATTCAACAAGAATGAGAGACTGTGCGACGAAACTGACTAGCAAAGGGAGAGGCTGAAGGTTGTTTTCATTGGCGTTGCAAATGCCATACAGTGGTCAATCTAGGGGATAACAGTGATTTTCTTGTCCGGATGAAATACTGTTAATTCGTTCACTACATTCTTGTAATAATGTTAAGTATCCTGTCAAGTGTGTCTTTCACGGCAAATAATAAGTAAATGATCGCATTTGGTTTCCAATAAGCGATATTATTCGAGGGAACCTCAGCCTAAACGGGATTTACTAACCAAGCGATTCAGGATCTAGGCCGAACCTGCTCATTCATACGGAAATTTACGCCTTAGCTCGGTGACCTTTGTGTCGAATCACCATAATTATTGATTCGCTTCCTTATCCGGTTGACTATTCGTTCACTCGACCAACAGTCAAGCGTGTACCGTGTACCGGTTTTTGAACTTGGTGTTAACTAACGAGGAACTGATGATGGAAACGAGTTCCGTTGCAGCTACCTTCGGTCGTAGGGACCATCGTATGGCTCATGTTGCCAGTTTCCATCACTGAACAGCAGATCTTAGTGACTATGAGGTTTAGCTCATCTGCTGTTGATCGCATTCAGCTGTGTGTAATATGAACAAAAATACAAAGTCTATCGAATTAAATGACGGAAAGCACGAACAATGTTATGCTAAAAAGATAGGTAATCATTGGACTCTGAACTAGGCTTGCTGAGCTTCATTCCGGCTCGCCGTAAAGAAACGAAAAACTAAATGGTGTTTTAGACGGTGAATGTTTGGATTAGCCCCTCTTTGGGAGATCCTTAATTCTCCACTGTTTGTGTGATGGAAATGTTTGTGATAACCGACAAAGAATGCACTGAACAGTAGCTGTTTCGTCCTGTTTGGACTTGTCAGTAGTGCGTCCTTTTTGTGTCTCCGTTAGGATTCTTCGGGCTGGGACTTCAAACCCCTAGCCTTGAGCTGCAGGGTTGATGGTGCGAATCGATTAATCACGTCAGATGATGAATGTTTGGATTAGTTCATTCGGGTTTTCACAAGCACCAGGCACTACTGATAATGTTCGATGGTACCTTGATCACACATCCTATCTGTATTTGCGAACACATCGTTGTGTATGCTGAAAGGGGAATAAAGGGGCACCGATCTCTAAATGACATTTAACTCGAAATAAAAGGAAATAAAACTTTTATTATGGGAATAACTTACAAACTCGTGCTTCTCTTGTCCCCTGGATATAGGGAATTTACACATTTGAATCGTTTTCACGCCGAAAACGAAGGCACATAGAATTCCAGATTAGAGATAATAAAGAACTCAGGCTTCAGTGAATTCGCGTTTGTTTTTAGTGATGTGGGAACGTCAAGTGTACCGAAGCTTTATTGAGTTTCTCTCCTCAAGATCAACCAGTAAGTGAATAATTATGAGATCAGTCTTCAAAATCAGGCTGTTACTACGCTTTTGAGTGTAACTGTTTCCGTAATGGTATATTGAACCACCTGTGTTGGTTCTCTGTGAATCATTTGAATGATTCTAATCTTTTTGAATTTAACAACCGATTGTACTGATTATGTCCGACGTACCGATTCATCGGAGAAGGACTAAAATAGAACAAATAAAAACTGCGACATGTACACCGGTATTGAACACATGCTTTGTGCGGAACGGCTTTGCATTAGGAGTTCGAAATAGACGAGCTACTTTTTTGAGATAATACTTTGATCGATAATTTTCCGTAATTTCACCCAGTAGTTTTATCATCTATACAGTGTGCCACATCTGGTAAGTTTTCTTGGATGTCGCTCGTGTTTTTCGTGATGATTTTATATCCCAGGGCAGTGAGTCTATCCATGTAGATTTTATATTTTCATTTTAAATTGATAAACACCATTACAACTGATAAATTATTTTGTCCTCAAATATAGATGAATAGTTGTTAAAGATTATAGAAGGGGAATGATTTTTTATTTTTTGAAATTAGCCCCCTGAAACCAATGGGTGATGTAAAACGGTCATGAATACACACTGGAAGATATTGTTAGCTTATTCAATTTGATTCACTCCCTTTGACTTATATTGATGTGTACCAATACTCGAGGAGGAGTGGTAAAAATCATGTTCACTAGGCCAGTTATTCACCCAAGATGAACGGCAACCTAATCATCAGAGCCGGGGATTAGCGCACAATGTGAGGTACTTTGAAAAAGGCATGCCAGTGATTGAGACGTCAATTTGCAGAGCTAATTGGGATGGTAGGAGGCTTTTGGGTTTACGGGGCAAAAAATGTGCCACTGTTCAATTCAACCTGGTTGACTGACGCCATCCGGTATTCGAATACAAGCTTGAACCTCATTAGGCTTTCTTGAGAATGAGTGAGTGAGTATTATCTTGATAGAGATAAGTGGACTGCTTTCATGGCCGTCCCTCCCCCCGTCTGAAATCGTTAAGACCAGAGGTTTTATAAGAAAAACAAAACTTATTTACCAATTTAGTTTTTATTGTACTATTACCATCCTTTTGTGATCATGTGATAACCCATTAGTCAAATCGAATGGATCCACTGCAGCACATTATCAATAACTATTGTGGCTCAGGCCTGGTCTTTGTTTTATTTTGTCCTCTGTCTGTAAAAAAACGAAGAATTCTTTTTCTTTTTTGGAACCAAATTATTCCGGTTTTGTCATCACAAAAAGGACAAGGACGAATTGGATACAAGTGTCTGTTTGTTTGCATTCTATTATGACGGTCTTAATTTGTTACTTTATCGTATTCTCAGACAGCCCTCTGATCAACTTCTTTATTCTTCGTGGAAACTGCTCGCACGAGTATATATTGATTTTATCAATTAAATTAAAAGAATACTAATCTTTATCGTAAACGGGATCAGAAATACAGAAATCAGATCAGCACCAAAATGTTATTTTGCTCTCAATATTGGCTCTGTATAGTTCAGAAAAACCAACTATTTCATGAAAACTTTCATTGCTCAGACGAACTGTGGTGAAGACACACGGTTGCGGCCATTTTGAATTGAGTGTGAGTCGTATGCATGTCTCCTCTCTGGACCTATGGGTTCATGCTTGATTTTCTTGTATTCCCCATGACTTTCAGAGGGAGAGGGGACCTAATCTTAGAGATGCGTCCTAGCTGTGCATTGAGAGCATTAGTGTATGAGCAGGGATCATGCACCCTACTTGGGAATAGGCCAATGGTATAAGAACCCTGACTGCATGACCTGGAGTCAACCTCATGCCAGTGTGTTTCGATTGGGTTGTGAGCTGGGATTGGTCCTGTGTACTAGAAAACCATACACACGAGATGAACACGATCTATTACTAATTTCGTCTGATCGATTGCACCGTTTTTTCTCGGTTAAACCGCCCCACTCTCCATCCCCGGGATCAGTTGATCAGATAGACAAATGTTAAAATAGTGTTTACTGGAATAGGGTTACACCGAACTATTAAGCATCACTAATGAAATACAAATCAGGCAAACATATTTAGTCATTCCCGTTTCAACATTTCTGTATCTGAGATTCTAAACCTGGTAGAAATGCTGCTTCCTAACAGTGTTCAAATCATTGTTTTGTGAATGAATGTTATGCGTGTGTACCACTGGAATTATTTAAGTAGTACCATGATAAATGTAAATAAAGAATGACATTCACTTTGCCTGGAAATCTAATTACTCCCCATTATTTGAAGATAGTGATCAATAGTTCAGTTAACTCTGTAGGATTGTATCAAATCTCCAAAAGTTCTGGACACATTATGATCTCACAATTTTTCATTTTGCACTATTGTGAATTGAGCAGCGGTTTATTAATTTCACTTGAACTTCTGACAAACATGATTCAAAAGATGGTCCTCTTTTGAAAGTGAGCTTCACGTAAAAAGATCGTTTGGCTAATGGTTTGGGATCGATCGGTGGCTCCCCTGGAATTGTCCATTAAGCAACCTGGAGTCAGGTGGAAAGATTCGCTGAATTGCGCTGCTCTAATCGAGCGAACGAGTTTTCTTGGGCTGATTTATTATTCCTTCAACTCTGAACGCAGGACAGCTGTGTGCGACTATTGTTAGACTGATCTGTATGCTATTGAACGAAACGTTAAAAGAAATTAGGATACCAAGGCTCGGATCCCCTGCATTTGGCTGGATTCGTAAAATAACCCTTCCCCACATTTACATAACTTTGTAAGACCAACGAATAAAGGAGCTTCCTCCGGCGTTGACACTACGACATTTTCATGTTCGCCCTTTCCGGTTTCCCCAACAGAGTTGGACCTCGAAACACACGCGTGAAATAAACAAGAGTCGGAAAGGAAGTCTGTGTAAGCAAATGGGACATATCACAAAACGAAGCGAAAGCCGATTTTTCGGTTATTTGTCTGTAGCCTTTGCTTTATTCACATAAGATGCAGTCATTTCTGACAAATAGATGGGCGGTTTTCAGCTCGTACACAATCGAGAGCTCGCCCGACGCCAAACGTTATCAAGACGCATAGAGATGTGTTGATATTGATGGGAATGTTTTGGTTTATTGGACCGCGGTATTTGTGTGCGTGTGTGTGTGCGCGCGCGCGTGTCCCAATTACTTCCCGTAACGCATCACACTTCCGCGTAGTCGAGGCTCATCGTCCGGCTGATCGAACGTCAATCGACGTGTGCCCAACGCGATCCCAAAATCCATCGGGTTGTCCAGGTCCAGATCAGACGAAATGTAAGCTCTTCTTGCACGAAAATCAAACGGTCTGATGAAAGCTTGCTCTGTCGGGACCAAAACCATGTGCAGGATGGTAAGCAGCATGAAAGTGGTCAAATAGTCCGTGCGCATTGTTCAGTATGTTCACCTGGGGTGGGAGAGGGGTGAATATTTTCACAGCGTGTTTACGTTCGATAAATACGTCAAATGGCAAATGTGAATCAAGAACAAATAGGTACTGTTGGAGGCGAAAACATAAATGTAATATGCGGAGATTTCTAATAACACTTATAATTTGGATTTCAGATTTTGGTTACTTGTGAGTAGTTCTATGGTGCATAATTCACTGGTTATTGTTCGGTAAGCGATCACCCGTTCAACGTTTTATTCATATGCCATCGTCAGTATGCGCACTACACTCGAGCAATGTGCTATTGTTAAACCTTATCCGCTTTAATTTGGGATATTTGTGTAAAACCTACGCGACAGATTGCATTTTAGTGACACATCTTGGTTTGCCATGACGGCTTTCAGGCCAAATTAACTAATTGACTGGCGTTGTCTGCAGATATAAACTACCGAGAAACTCTGACACGAAGAAAACTGAAGTATCAAGTATACATATGGCTGGCTGTATTGACTTGATGGGGCTGGGGAACGTGATGAAGTTCGAAATCTCGTGAAATGAAATTAGTAACATGCCAAGTTACGAATTATATGAAAATGGACAAGAAAATTACTGTTTTTATCAAACAGATTATTTTCCTAACTTGTGATAAAACATAGCGCATAACATGTTCCAAAACAATTTAAACAAAACAAAACAAAACACGAAATACACCTCAAACAGTACGGCAGTTTAGGAATTCAGATACAATAACAGTCTGCTTCTGAAATGATTTGATTAAAAATCGCCAGTGTTTATCTCTGCTACACTGGAAAATGCCAATGTAAACAGGTGAATGCCGAAAATTTCCACTAAGAATGATCTGTGGGGGTGGGAAAAATGAGGTTTCTCTTTGTCATTTGACGAGATGTGAACGTTTTTCTTTGAAACTCCAAAATCTACCATACCATTTTCATAATTAGACCTGGTGTTAATAAATTTGGTGAATTGGTAAGAGAGAAAGAGAGAGAGAGCTGTAACTCATGAAGATCTTGCTCATAGTTTGATCCAATAACACAATGAAAGTTTACTTTTGGCCGGACAAAGAGATGTTGCTGGTGTAGTGAAGACAAGGACACAGCCAGTTTGAATTGAGTATGAGTCGTGGGCATGTCTACCGTTGGCCCGTTTGGTTTATGATTACTTTCTGTATTTTCCCGATCTATCAGGTTGTCTGAAAGCCGCCCCACACGAAGAACCTATTGTGCGAAATGTGTCCCAAATGGGTATTGGGAGTGCGGTGAGTGACGAGGGATTTTGTGGCTTTCTTGGGACGACGCTAAGAACGTGAACTGCGTGACCCGGTGTCAACCTCTCTTACCAATGTATTTCGCGTGGATTCAGCGCTGGAGTCGTGGGCCCTGCACACTATACCGGTTTGCTCTGAATCAATCACTTATCTCCCATCTGGAGCCAGGCCACGAATAGCATTCTTATTTACACCGGAATGGGACTTCGGAAGAATATCAGTTGAATGAGCGTTTCCGACTGATAAGTGTGCAGACCCACTGGTATTCTGAAGATCAAAGGTGTTCTACGACAGTAATGCTCACACATTCGTACACGCTGAGTGAAACAATATACAATCCAGTTGTTACAGCCCTAAACAAAATGCGACCTTCGAAAGCCTCAGTATGATCGGGGTAGATATCTAGGTTTGTGACTGGTCACAATTTTCTCACATTTCGTGAAACGCTCCTATATGACCAAGCGTCTCAAAAATCCTCTGCTGAGGAAGCTCTACTCACTGCCTTTTCGTGGCGGAGGTATTTTTCCGCCTAAGTGAGAGGACGAAAAGCCGACATCCGGGGCTATAACCGGGTTGGTGAACCATTGGCAGTTCACCTAGGGGATTTGGCTAAAACCCCTGATTCCAAACTAACCAAGAAGAGGCGTAATGAAGCACACGCACACTTTCCTGGTCGTGGCAGTGGTCACCGGCTTAATTGAGCATTGAGGTGTATTGGATACCTTGGACGTTTGATCCCGTCCAAAGGGTATATGATCCAGTGAAGTCCACACTGACCCCCCATGGAATTTGGACTCTGAGCTCCGTCCTGTTGTCTTCCAGGTCTGGCTTTCTAGCCAAAGGCTCCGGGTGGGGACCCCGAGGCTATCCTCCTTCCTCAGCCAGGGCAACCGGGAAGTAACATGCTCACATAACTCCTAAACGCATTCTTCAAATTTCTTTCTGTTCATGTGTTGTGGCCCATTTGCCAGTTCTCTTTAAGTAGTCACGTGTTGAATAATAATGATAATAATAAACAAAATGTGACTTATTTGCTTTCATAATCACTTTCTAGTCAATTTTACCACAAACCTATTTCCATAATCTAAAAAGGGGCTCAAACGCGGGGATAAAAATCAACGTTTCAAATGAATCTCGAAAGTATAAAGGTTGTGTTGGAATTGAATTACACAAACGGGGAAACAGATCAGCTGAATACTAATCACTAACGATGATCAAGACATTCTGACACATCATCAAGCTGGGACATAGGCTCCAACAATACATACAACATTCTATGACTCACCAGAAGATTGTTCCGACCGATTCGAATGCTGAACAGAATATGTCTACAACCACGCACACCAAGTCGCGAGAGCATTAGCCGTTTATACTTGAGCGATTTTTGTTCGGAGCGTAAACCAATCGGATTGGGAAGAATTTGGAACATTTTTCATTGGCCTTTCTCATTCGGACAAAAATGACCAATGACATTGTGAAATAACCCGACGGAAGTTGGTTTGCTACATTAAACTTGTATTCACTATTTACACACCGTTTCACAACGTTTCCGGTAATGCATAACAGAAATTCACATAATAGTAGGAAAAAAAGTCCCACATAGAGAAAATTAGATGATCAATCTTTTTGATGGTAAAAATAGATGAACGATACTGACTAAAATCGGGATGCGTGGAGTATTGTTAGTGATCATGAAACTGGTCTTTTTCGCAGACATGTTCTATGTGGGGATACGTTGTGAGGATTAGATGTGGTGAAACATTTTAGGGAAATGGAGCAAATACATGATATGGATATTCTCAGAATATGCGTCTACCTAGACTATTCGTGCTTTCCTACCTGAGCGTTCCGGCAAGGAGGATCCTGTTTTGGCATCGATTTATTTGGATCAGATAACTTTGGGTATTTGAAGTGTCTTCTCCACGCGAAGTCTTTCGATGAATAATTTACCATTTGTGTTCTTTTCCACAATGTTCTTCACCCCCCCCCCCCCCCCC